AGGGACGTTAATTGCCCAATGCAACAACAAACTGGGACCATCTGCTTCACACCCAGTTCCTCCCCGCCAGGAGTCTCGGCACTCGGGAAGGCACAAATGCCAGTCGCAGATACAGACATACCAACGGGGCCAGCTCCGCCCCAATTCTGCCCAGCTATCTAAGGTACCTACGCTGTCAATCAACCGAGCTCTCCCTTCAAGTTCGAGGTAGACCATACGCCACCGAAATTGAGCAAGCTTGAGAGAGGTTGTTCAAGAAATCCAAGGGGTAAAGGCTATCCGATATCGAGGACGGATTATACCGACGTGGCTTGAGCTGCGCGGATAGGTTTAAATGCACACAATTGATCGCTTCGACGGATCCGAGATCCCATAGTCATCTTCGGTTTGTTCTCAGATATACTACGGCCAATGGCCTCACCAGACCACAAAGCTTTTACTATTTGGCCGGACCCTGTCGGGTGGGCCGCTATCTGGTATGCGCAGTTAGAGGATGATGCAAGCGGAGTTGGGATGAAATGGCCGAGGCTTGTCGCGCAATACTCTTACAATACCCAAATCGAGATTACGACCCGAGATCCGAAATCGTGCATGATCCTAACTATACAGAAATGCCTAATGCAACACATGCAAAATGCAACTAAGATAGGCTCGGCTATTCTAAAGATGGCATGTGAAACGCTACAACTAACAAGTATTCAACTCAGAATTGAAATACAAATGCAGTTAGTATGATGCGCAGAGCCCGGTGCATGCAAAATAGATAAATGAATGTAAACATGCTATCATGCTGTATGTTAATTGAAACATGTCCTAATCCAACCATCATACGCTGGTAAATAAAAGGGAGAAAGACGTGGGGTTGGAAGACATACATCACACGCACGCACACTTATTACAACATTGCCCTCGCTTGGAGGGTCCGAATAAATAATATACAGTCCGAATAAATACAAAATCCTAATTAATTAACAGATTAATCTAGGAAAGCAGATAAATTAGCACGCAAATCCACGGACTGCCTTAGCTCTATTCCGAATGATGAATGATGTATGCTTGTGTTGCCTTGCGCGAAAATCCATTGTGATGCCCCGGTTTGCCTCTGTTTGCAATTTTTCTCGGAATATTGTGCAAAGTTCCAGAAGGCTGTTGATTTCTGATTTACTGCAATAGAGAGCAACAAAGGGGCATGGCAAAGTATTTTCACATATGTATGCATGACTACTCTTCAGGGAGTGTAGTCCTCGATCCTCGTGCCACCAATTACGCATATCGATGCATGATGGCCGATGAGTCGAATTGCACGAATCAATATGAAATGAATGCACATGAAAACACAACAAGACCTAAACTCCATCATGGGTAATCTGAAGTGTCGGCAACAGGGAATTGAGACACGTTCCGTCACTCGGAGTACGAAACGTACCTCGTTTCTCGTGCTTGGCCTAACTCCTATCCCAAACACGATGCAAATGAGATGGCATACACAATGTGATTAACATACAACCTAGAATACGCAATGCTATAAAATGGCAAACCCAATGCTCGATGTGACATGGCATACACGATGCTCTAACATGCAATCTAGCATACGCAATGCTATGGACCGAAATGACATACACAATGCACGATGGACTTATACCAACATGAATGGACCTCAGCCACACTCACATCAGTGGCCATGAGATGGAAAAGAGACAATCGAAATGCGTGCACACGTGCACGCATACCGAGGACCGAACCTAAGGCATAAAATGCCACTCTATCAAAGCATGGCAAGGGATGAAAGATGGCATACAAACATGTAATTTCCAGCACTAAATCATGATGCTAAACGGTCCCGAAACATGGAAATATGGCACCCGATGCATGAAATAAACCCCGAAACTCAAAGCTAAGCACATGTATTGAATTATAACTATACAAAGCAAGCATTATTTGGCCATAAAGTACAAAGACAGAGCCAATGCAGTCCCAAAACATGCATATTTCTAGTTTAAAGCATGGCCAAAAGGTGCTAACATGATGGACAAAAATAGCATGCAAATTCGTCTAGCAAGCATGGTTTACATGGCATGTATATGAAGTGTATGAGAACTCATCAAACCAGCCAAAAACAGTGAATAAAACATGACAAAAGATGTCCAAATAACCACTAAAATGCAGCCAATACATGCAAAAATGATGAGCTCCTTTAGAGGGCCATACAAGGGGTCATTAAGCACATACAAGATAGACATGTAACATGGCAAAACCACCTCTAGAAATGAGTTATGAAAGCCCTAAGACTCACCAAAAATTCCCTGAAATTAACCTAGGAAGTATGCAAATGAAAGACCCTTTGAAAGGCCTTGAGTGGGATTGTTCTACACATGCATCATAGACATAAAATATGGAAAAATGAGCTCTGGAAAGAGCTAATGCAGACCATAAAACTCACAAAATGAGGCCTGAAACATGACTTCAATGCATGCAAAATAGAGTCCCTTTGGAAGGCCAACAATGCTAGTAAAGAGAATCAGGGGTGAGAGGGTCACCCCTCTATGATTTTAGAGCTCAAAAACACATCAAGGCCACTGAAGATCCACTGGATTTCAGTGGCTAAGAGGCCAAAACAAGGCCAATGCAAATTCTCACATGCATGGCTCAAAACATGGGGAAATGAAGCATGCAAGGAAGAAAATGACTCCAAACAGAAAAGTAACCTCAATAAAACTTAAAGAGGAGTTCAAAACAAAACTTTCTTCAGTTTAGGTCGAGGTCCAAAAATGCTCCAAATGAGGCCAATATATTATGCAAAATAAGCCCTAAAAGAGAGATAAAGCATTCAAGGGGGTAGGAGACCTCAAACAGAGAAGTACTCTTAAGAAAACATGAAGAGGAGCTCAAAATAAGACTATTTTCAGTTTACACCAAGGCTCGAAAATGCTTGAAAGTGGAGCTAAGGTATAGAGCAAAATAATGCAAAAATGGGAGAAATGAGGACTTACCCTTGTAGCACAACAATGTAGCCAACCTCGGACCAAGAAAGTGAGCTTTGAACTTCTGAAAATGAGTTCCAAGGTGCTGGAATGGATGGTGGAGGTGTTAGGCTTAGAGATGTAGTGTAAATGGCCAAGAAAATTAGGGTTTGGAGCTTTTGAGAAGAAGGCTATGGAGGATGGAGTGTGTAAGCCTTAACCAAAATTTTCTAACCCTTGCAAATGAGGTGGGGAGTTGGTTATATAGAGGGAGAGAAGTAAGGTTTCTTGGAGAAACCAAGAGAGGGGGTCAAAGCTTCTCAAAGAAGCTTAACCAAAAGGGGTTAAGCTTCTTGAGGAAGCTAGACCAAGAGGGGTCAAGCTTCCTCAAGAAGCTTGACAAAGAGTCAAGCTTCTCTAAGAAGCTAAGCAAGAGGGTCAAAACCAACTTAAAAAGGTCAACAAAAGGCTCAAAATCTCGGACAGTGGGTCAAATTCTTCACAGCTGGCACAGCTGTGAAGCACTTGAGAAGAGCAAAAAGCAGAAAGCTGGCCGACCAGCTAAGGTGGCCGGCCGGCCACTCCCCATGCTCGGCCGACCAGGGGTCAAAAAGGTCAAGCAAAATTGCTGGTCGCCCTACCCAGAAAGGTGGCCTTCCAGATGAGTAGAACACAGTCCTGCGGTGAAAAACCAGAAAAAGTGACCCAGGAGAGAGAAAAACCAGCCTTTTAGAGGGGTTCAAAAGGGTCAAGAGGAAATACTGGTCGGCCTACCCATACTGGTGGCCTCCCAGATGAGCACAACACAATGATGGTGTGAAAAACCAGAAATTGTGGCTCAAAAGTGGGAAAAACCAATTTTCTGTCAGAAAAATCGGCTTTTGGAGGAAGAAAATGAGAAAACTGGTTTTTCAGGGGAAAAGGTGGCCGACCACCATATTACCCCCTCCCTAACAGTGAAAATAGGGTCCCCACCAAAAATGGACCAAGACGGATGCAAACGAAGGTTCGGGGGCCAAAACGCACAGTCCGAGGCCCAGAAAACAGGCTGTTAGGCACCGGAAGTGGCGTATGACCACGAAGGTGGTCTCACGGGCCACAGTGTCCCTCTAAAGGGAGAAAATAAGAGGTGCCAAAAATCAGAGCAAACGGAGGTAGTTAAGCGGTCCCGAACCGAGGCACACGACCGACGGCTCCGAAAATCGGAAACTAGGCTCCAAACGGGAAAAATGGCCTACGACCACGAAACGTAGCCTACGGCCATTGAGAGATGGTCTACGAGACCTCTTCCTCCCTTTGGGAAGAGAAAATAGAGAAAACAGGACCTGGTTCGCAAACCGAGGCAAAGTATAAAAGAGCCCCGAAGTCTGGAGGCAAGGCTCGCAGCCGAGACTCTGAAACCTCAGAACGAGCACAATATGCAACATCACCAAGCGCTCAGCTGGTGACGTCTGAGTCTTAAGGTCGGTCAAAAATGGGGTGTCTACAACCACCCTCTTTGGTCTCCACAACAAAGGGTGGTCGGCAGGTGGTCTCCCATGCTAATAACTGGTCGGTGGCCTTCCCAAGGTGGAGTTTCAGCCTTTTGGAGCTTTGTGCAAGTTTCTGAGATCAATTGCAAACAAAGACGAGTCAATTTTGTAATAAGTGTGCGTGTGTGTGATGTATGTCTTCCAACCCCACGTCTTTCTCCCTTTTATTTACTAGCTTATGATGGTTAGTTTAGGGCATGTTTCAATTAGCATACTTATGCTTCGCATGTTTGCATTCATTCATTTGTATTGCATGCACCGGGCTCGGCGCATCATACTAACTGCATTGTATTTCAATTCCGAGTTGAATACTTGTTAGTTGTAGCATTTCACATGTCATCCTTAGGATAGCCGAGCCTATTTCTAGTTGCATTTTGCATGTGTTGCATTAGCCATCTTGACATAAACTAGGATCATGCATTGATTACTAACTAGTTTCTGTTATGGCTCGGAGTACTCGGGAAGTGTTTATGCTTTAGCATCCTTGTATGCGTGTGAGTGACTGCCATGATAGCATGTTTACCATGAGGCTAACTGCTTATGTGATATACCTGCCTGAATGTCTGTGGGTGAAGGTTGGATTATCTGAATTGGAATAATGCATTGACTGTGAGTTTTAAGCCCACTAGATAGTGGCAAAATCATGTTTTCTAAGCCCACTCAAGGGTGGCAAAATCTGCATTTTAAGCCTACTTGCGAGTAGCAAACTGCTTTAAAAAACAAACATGAAATGTTTTGTTCCAATTCAGGCGATCCGGTTTATACTTGTATGCTACGCGCATCACATAGTAAATCTAGGCTAATAACCAGAATAAGAACACATATGTTTTCAAAACTCGATATCATGGTTAGTAGAGGCCGATCTTTGATCGGGCGAGCGAGGGTGCTCATGAAGTGACCTTCCCCAATTATACCCAAGTTTCAGAGCCGAGGCAAGTTTGGTGATGACGGACACGTGGCCTTAGGCAACGAATCAGGGTTTCCTAAATTTCCCCAAAATAAAATATTTAGGTGGCGACTTTGTATCTGGCAAAGCAGTCCATGTTTGGCACTTCTTTCTAAAAATCTGTTTTCCAAAACGATTTGCCAGATTTGGACTCTTTGATGATTCATTGGTCTTGCATTGCACTCTGCGAGATTAGATACAGGACCGTGACTTTTGAGTCCGAACTGTAGTGAGCCCAACGAACAAAACGGGATTTCCCTCCCGGGGTGTTCGGGGACGTCTACAACGGAAAGCTTCGTTTCTTGAAGGAAAATAATGTCCACTTTTCTAGTAGCAAGGCTTTTCTTTAACTGTCTTTCTTTCTCTGGTTTACCGAGCCCCTTCACATTCCATGATTACATCTTAATTAACACGTTATAACACTCTTGCTCGCCTTGGAGTACTAGTCTAGATAGCAACTCCCTCTCTCTGCCTAACTTTCTCTTTGTCCTTGGCTTCAAGTGCCTTCTTTTTGTTGATTACCTCCTCCTCCTTACCTTTACAATCAAGACCAAGAGCTTTGCCAATTTGGACTGAAGCTTCAGTGTCCAACAACACTCTCCTGCCTCTGTTGGTTCCAGTAGCCATTGATAGGGAAATGACAGCTACAGCTGACCTGAAGACTGCTCCATTTCTCAAATTCAGTGATGATGCCCCCAGTTGTTTAGTAGTTACACACTTTCCCTTTTTCTTCTTCATTTGTTTTCTTCTACTTGTCTGCCTTGTCTCCTGCACAATTGCTTTCCTTGCTGGACCTGGACTTGTACCTTGCCCCCACCCTCCTTCGGCCCTTTTGGTTGGGAATACCCACTACTTGGCCTGAAGTTTCCTTAGACGAAAATGACCCACTACCTCCCGTATGGGCCAGCCCCACCTCACTTTGTTTCGACTCATCCAAATTTAGATGGGCCTTATCTAGATCCACTTCAATTTGAATCCCGAGCCTATTCCTTGTTGTGTCACTTAGGCTTCTGATAAACCCAGGAGTGCAGATTTCCCCATCTAACCTACGCCTACCATCATCATTGGTAAATTCAGGTCTCGACCCCATCTCTGCAGAGTCACCCTCACATGTGCCTTCAACCTCTAACATTGCATTCATCATATCTGTTTCAGCCACCACAAAGACATTCCTCAACCTAACCTCCCCCTCCTTGCTACATTCACTGCTTGTGTCTATAAACTGATTCTTATTAACCCCTTCTGAAAGATAATTGTCACCAGTCTTCCGGTCTTTTTATTTACAATCACACTGCTCCTTCATAACATTTGACATGATTATTTGTTCTTCAGATACCCTAACAGGGTAAATTACACCTTTGCATTCTAATTGGACTATTTGCTTAATGGACTCCATACAACTTGTTGCTATCTTTACCTTCCCACACTGGAAAGAAGTCTGTCTACTAGTCTCATCATCCATGCCTATCACTTCCCTCCAAACCTTTCCAGTGCTACTGAAGGTGTTACTACTCCACAAATTCAATGAGACTCCATAACAACTCAGCCAAACGTATCTTTCCTGTTCAATGGCTATCCCTTGACTCCATTCTATAACTGATTCGCACCAGTCATACAGCCACTTCTTCATTAACCCAAGTTTTTCCTTCATAACTGCTGCTGATTGAAAGGAAAGAACAGTATCTCTCCCATCTCCAAGTCTCACAATTATATCCCACAACCTTGCCTAACCAGTTCCTCCCTAAAGTCATCCACAAAAGCTGAGACTTTGAGTCGCACTACTACACTTTCATAGAGCCAGCCATTCCCTTCCTCATTTACCTTAATGGTTCTGTTTACCGATTGTTCAGCACCTCTGTCTCTCACTACCTCAACAAATGACTTAATTCCTCTATAACCAGCGTTGTACATGTTATTTGTCTCCATTTTCTTCCTGGTCTGTGGTCCGTTGACCATTTTTTGTTTTACATCACCATCTTTCCCAAACTCACCCATTTTAACTCTCAATGCACAATCACCACACCAGAGCCCATTTGCTTTTTAAACTACCATATCCGCTACTACCGAACAGTTATATCTTACAAACCCAAAATGAGATCGTGTCATCGTTCTTCGCTTATTTGGGATAAACGTATCTGTCACTACACCATAGTTAGAGAATATTTTGTGCAACCCTCTTGAGCCCATGGATTATGGTATATTATCCACAAAAACAGAGTGAATAGTGGCTTCCTCCCTTCTGCTCCACACCCCCCGGCCTCCATGTGTACGGATCATTGGTTGCCATCCTCCATATCCTTGTTGACAGCCTCTCACCATTCTTCTTGTAGATTAACGATCCCAAAATCTAGGAGAGAACCTTAAGATCTGAAAACAAAGGCAAGAGATTTATTACACTATTCACTTGATCGCTACCTCCGCTGACCCAGTCGCACCGCCCTTGCTCTTCGCCGTCTTGATCTCTGTCGTGATCGCCTTCTTGATCACCGTCGTGATCACTCTTCAATAGTAAAAATGAGATCTTGCTAATGAGTTGTTTCTTAGTTTGGTATAACTTATTATCTATCTATCTATCTATCTATCTATCTATCTATCTATACTATTATAAAGTGAACACATAATATGGTGTCCTGAAACTTTACTCTCCTCATGCCATGTGGCAGTATTTTTTATTTTTTTAAAAAAAGTTAAACAAAGAGATAGGCAAGGCTTGAACCCATGACCATGGGTTTAAGTACGACGACTCATACCACTTAAGCTAAGTACACATTATAATATAATATGAACTTCATTATTATTATTTTTTATTCCTACTTATTTAAATTGCACACACATCGTGTGTGCCACCCACTAGTAAGTTAAAAGTTTGTAATCAAAAGCATAAACTAAAAGCATATCTTCTTTAGTGTCCAAACAAATAGCTTTTTTTTAAAAAAAAAGTTTATTTAAGTTATTTTTGCTTAATAAATTATAAATTATATATTTTTAATTTATTTAAGCTAATTCTACTTAATTTGTTTGAGCTATAACACAGTTATTCCACTTTTTCTATGATTGAATGCCCAATTTGGTTGAGCCCATGCGTACCCTAAGATTGCTACTGCAATGACAAAACAAATGTAATTTATTAGGGTAAATTACACTAATCTCCTTTGATGTTTAGAAAAAATACAATAAGTTCTATAATTTTGATATAATTATACTGACCTTCCATTTAGGCTGACTTTCCTTTTAGTAAGATTAAATGGACCGAAATTAATGTAGATTGTTACAAAAAAATACAAAAATAAACAACGTAAATTACATATATTCGCGTAAAAGAGATGACAAAATTATTCTTTTTATCCATAAATCTGTAACTAGAACTTATATCCCATTTGGTCTCATTCATAATTTACAATTCCATTTAGTCACTTTTCAAATGACCAAAATGTCGCTTTTTAATGCATCTCTAAATTTGACAATGTAATCCCAATTCAATCTAGGAGAATATTTGGTTAGAGTCTCTAATCTAATTTATATTCTATAATATGTTTTATTATTTTTAGGGAGACTTATTTATAAGTCCTTTTTCAGACACTTATGATAGGCTAGGTCCTGTGTAATTTCTTATAGAGTCTCAAGTCCTATTTAGATAGGAATATATTCTACAAGATCCTACATAAATGTAACGTGACGTGACACTTACATAAACGTAACGTAACCTGACACCCACATAAACGTAACGTAACGTGACACCTATATAAGCCTAACGTAACGTGACACCTACATAAACGTAACGTAACGTGTCACGTTATGTTTCGCAAACTTAATGAGTTTTTATTTTTTAAAATTGAATGTGAAAATGTTGCTGGTTTATGTTGGTGTCACGTTACGTTTTATATAAATATGATCTACATTCAATTTCCTATATAGGAAATTGAATGTTGCCATAGATCATAGGTGTCATGTTATATTTATAGATGTCACGTTACGTTACGTTTATATAGATATGATCTATGGCAACATTGAATGTTGCCATAGATCATAGGTGTCACGTTATGTTTATGTAGGTATCACGTTACGTACAGGTGTCACGTTACGTTTATGTAGGTGTCACGTTACGTTACATTTATATAGATATGATCTATGATAACATTCAATTTCCTATATATGGTTTTACTATTATTTATGATATTAACAAATAATATTGAGGGGTAAATGTGTCAACAAACTTCCCACAGGACTTATGGAAACATAAATTTTTTAGTAGGATCATATGTAGCATAAGTCTCCCTAATAGGACTTATAAATAATTTTCCCTTATTTTTATTATATATGTTATTAAAATTTGTGTTTTGGCAAAAAATTATCATAATTAGATAATAATGTGAATATTAATACTTTCAATAAATAAAATACTATGAATTTTAGAAAGTGTAAAAGTTTAGTGTGAATATTCACACTTTTTAGGACTTAATATAGCACCGTGAAATTTATTATTATTACTTACATTTCAAATATGTGAAATTTCACACTATTAGAAATTTAAATTTTAAAGTTTTTCAATTAAGAATCTATGTGAAATTTACACTTTCAAATCTAAAAAAGTATGTGAAATTTATTATTATTGTTGTTGTTGTTGTTATTTTGTACAATCCAATATTTGAAATTTCACACTATTAGAAATTTAAAATTTCTCAATTCAGAAGTTATGTGAAAATTAAAAAATATTTCTAAAAAATGTGAAATTTCAAGTCCCACTTTCAATTAAGAAAGTGTGAAGTTTTAATTTTTTTTATTTTACATAATTTTATATTCAATTGAGATTTTGTTTAATAGATCTGGTTAAGCAATTTTCAAAAATCTAAATTTATTTAAAAACTAATGCGTACGTCAAAAGTTAAGGAATTTTAAAGTTTGAATTGAAAGATAAAAAAATAATAACTACCATATGTAAGTGTGTTGACCACTTCCATAGATTTGTACTTGTACATAAATAAGGGTAAGTTTGTTTAAAAGTTTGGAAAAAAAAAAGACTTTAGTCTTCCAAACAACTTATATAATCATGGGACCTAATGGAATACAAGTGTATGAAATAGGATTTATTAGTATAAAAAAAAAAAAAAAAAATCTTATAAGGACAAATTATTGATAAAATTTGAACTAAGTGTGATATAAATTAAAATTTGAAGGGAGTTCCATGTAATTATATCAAAATTGTGAGATTTATTGTATTTTTTTACATCTCAAGGAAGGTCAGTGTAATTTACTCTTCTTTTATCTTTCTAACATTTTTACTTTTTTTTTTTTATAAAAAAAAAAAAAAACTCTTATAAGGACAAATTATTGATAAAATTTGGACTAAGTGTGATATAAATTAAAATTTGAAGGGAGTTTCATGTAATTATATCAAAATTGTGAGATTTATTGTATTTTTTTACATCTCAAGGAAGGTCAGTGTAATTTACTCTTCTTTTATCTTTCTAACATTTTTACTTTTTTTTTTTTTGGGAAAAATAATGTATAAATGACAAATGGGACTAGAAATTTACAAGTTAAGATGAGAAAAATAAAACTAATTATAAATAGGTGACATTCACCCATTGAATTTATGAAACTTCCTTTATCTATTTCTTTTTCTTCCCTTCCTTCCCTTTTCTTATCTTTGTAACTTGGATCTTCATTCACTGCTTCAAACCCCTCATCCTCTATCCTCCTCTACCGCAACCCCCTTACCACCCCATACAACGTAGATG